TAAACATTTTACAACTTTATTTATCAGGTTTTGCTTGTCACCAAGACTATCAAATCAAATTTTATTTTCAAGTTGACTCGAATGACCAGTATCGATAGGATAAAAACATACTTTCAATTCTAGCTTTTAAAATACGACTTTTTTGCAAAGTATTAAGTAGCAAATTTTCCCATACTCATAACAACCGATAGTCGTCGATCGGAAATTGATTATCATTTATACTATTGTTCATTATGTTTCCTTTTGATCATTATTTATTGTATATATTTTTAAAAGGTCCTCACAAAGGACTCGGTTACGGTGGCTGTGGATGCGGTGGTTTATTATCGAATTTATAACCCTGTGGTTGCAATTACTAACGTAGAAGACGCTGATCGATCCACACGACTTCTTGCCGCTACTACCCTACGCAATGTTCTTGGCACAAAAAATTTGGCTGAAATCCTCTCCGAGCGAGAATCCATCTCCAGTAGTATGCAGGTGAGAATCGAACTATCTAACCATATATAAAATTCCTGACTAAAAATTATGTATAATCTCGTTAAGCTTTTAAACCCTAGTGGTATTTGCAAATTCTGAATATATATTAGTTACATGAGACATGAAGATGAAATCGATTCTGATGTATATATATATATTTATTTATTTATTTATATATTTATATGCATATAGGATGTATTTTAAACAAAATAGTATTGAAATAAGTCTACATAGGTAAGCTAGCTTAGAAAATGCTTAATTTTCAAAATGTTTTTGATATGTAGAACTAGGCCTAAATTTAATAATCATATATAAAATAGTGTGTATATGTGCATATATTTTACCTACTTTGAAAAGTGTTTCAACATGTGTGCGTGATAACACTTAATATTGCACAATTTTGGCTGTATAGGCTTGCAGGAGACTCACAAAATATTTGGCAGTATTTAAAAGCCAAGTTGGCAGCTCCAAAACATTCTTATTGATACTTCTAGCACTAATATTTTAATGTACAAGTAAGATTAAATTAGCTGAATAATCTAAGGCTAGCTTCTATCTTTACCTTAGGAAGTTTCTTTAAGTTTTAAAATGTTGCATAATTTAACGTCCAATGCTAATTTGCCGATAAATCCAAAG